AGTGCTGCCTCTCTTTTTCCTCAGAATCTAGAGTGGCAGCTGTGAGATAATAAAGTCTCTTTCTGAATATTACTGTTGGTTGATTGCAAATGAGAAAAACACAACAGAAGGTGCATGTCCATCAGCTGCATGATTCTGCAGAATCAACATTAAGCAATGCCTCTTTGTCCTGAAAGAACAGAAAAAAATAATAGGGGGAAAAGTGACAATGCTCCAAAAATACTTCTAAGATTTTGAAGCAGTGCTGCTGGTCTTCAGGGGTTTTTTTGTTTGTTTGTTTGATGTTCAAACACTTAATGCTTAAGTCTTATTTTAATGACCTGCATAATACTAGTATTATTTGAACAGTACAGCAAGCTAATGTACCAAAAGATAGGATTTGTCAGAATTGGAAAGATATCAGGATAAAAAGTGGAACTGTTGTAAGCCAGCAGTTTTGATTTTGAGGGTCTGCATGGGTTTCCTTCTGCTGATGTCAAGTGCTGCAGATCAGAGGTGGGATCAATACCACACTCCTGCAAAACAAGCACCATGTTGAGGTCACCGATTTGATGCTGACTAGAAACAGAAGTAAAACTGACCTAATCAGTTTTTATTTTCCAAGCAAGGGCAGAGAGAGAGTCGGGAAGAGACTACTGGTCCCAAGAGCAAAAGACTAATCTGCTGGGGGCTTTCTATTTTTAATTATTTTACATTTAATATCCACGTTCTTGATTCCTCAGATATTTAAGATTTCTTGGACCTGCACACTTGAGTAAAGTTGTCCATGCATTTAAGCGACTGTGGGATCTAAGCCCAAGTTGTTACTAAGTAAGTAAATTTGCTTAATAGGATTTTTAATTTGTTGTTATCCCTTTAAAAATGTATTTGTTCTCTGCTAAATAGTAAGAAATTAGCCTCAGTGGTCTCAGGTTTGCTGTTGGGTGTGTGGTGGTTTTTTAATTACATGATTGCAAGTTGTGCTAGATTTGGCTGAATCACCCTGTATATAACTGAACTAATTACTCAGATGTTGTTTTGATGGCTTCATGACCAAATACTCCAAGAAATTAACTCAATGGTTCAGTATATGGCAACACAAATCCAGTACACTGGCATGCTGTTAAAAGTCCAATACCACAGCTGTTCTGTCAGAAAAAAAGAGTTTAAATAAAGGGCTACTTAGTACTGTCATGATGTTCTTTAAAATATTCTGTACTTTACATATACTGTTGGACAGGAGGTCAGTAGTGTGCTTGATAAATGCACCCACAAATTTCCTGTCCATGCAGAATCCTAATCAATTGACTTTGCTGCTGAGAACCTAGATCAAACATGACAAACTTTCTGGTTCATCATTTTCCTGTTGTCAAATGTATTTAAAATATCAGCTGTGGGCATCGAACTGGGCATCAATGGCAATGGCTTGCAGTAGTCGATGTAGATGGTGAAAGATGGTGCAAAAGGGAGGGATGGCAGTCATGCGATCAGCATATGCACAACATCCAGAACTGCAATTGCTGTGAGCTAGATCTTCCTTCAAATATGGGCATGCACAGATGGGTGTCAGTCTTGTCATTTGTTCTTGAAGGTAACAGACCCCAAAGTCACTCATATGAGGATTTAGGATCTGTTCAGTCAAATTAATCATCTGACCTAGAAGCTGGGATCAGATAATAATGCTTAATTAACATATTAACTAAATTGGAAGCAGGTGCTCAGCAAGTTTCCACATTACCACTGTGGGTTGTGCCTTGCTGTTCTCTTACACTGTCTGGAAGAATAATTTTTAAACATTACACGCTCGCTGAATGCAATCAGGAAAATTGATACTGTTGCCCTCTTGCATTTGGTATGCCCACCTCCCTATACTTAAAAACAAAAGAGCATCCAAGGTACATAACTTCATTGCAACAGATCCATGGGATTTTAAAAAATACTGGTAAATATGCTGATTAATCACTGAACATAAATTAGGTAAGTCTTACTGATTTTCTGTCTTCATTAAATATTCTGAATGGTCTGCAAAGGATTATGCCTCCTTGTGAAATGATTACCACTAACTTGGTAGTTTTAAAGAACAAGGTAACTTCAATCTGATCAAGACATCATTAGTTGCAAGCAATAAATTAAAGCTCAGATGTGTTGTAAGAGGAAAAGCCAATTTCAGTCCTCTGAGGAATCTATTAATTGTCTAATGGAAAAACACAGGAGTCTTTTTTTTTAAACTGGAGACCTGCATGTCAGTAACGCAACTCTGCATGGACTCCAATAGCAGTTGAAGGCATCTGAGAGGCATAGACTCATCTACCATACTACAGTACTTCCAGGAACGTTCAGGAAGAAAAATATACCTACAAAGCATATTGCTCCCCCTGCCCCTTCTTTCTGCCAACAGACTAGGAGAAAGTAATCACTACTATAACGATGCATAATGAGTTAATACTACTGTAATTTTAACAGGACTTATTCGCAATACTCCCACTAGTGACCATCAATAAAGACATTAAGTTGCTTTCTATCCACCAAATCATTAGGAAAAAACTGAATGGCAGCTGCTGCTGCTTTGCCCTTTGCACAGAGAAGGGAAGAGTAAGATGCAAAAGTCACATTTACTACCCCATGTAGGCACTACTAGCACAACCATGGCAATGCAGAGGGAAAGTCAGGCATTCGAGCCATCAGTAATCACAACAGTTACTGTAGGACAAAATGCCAAGGTCAAATCCTGCTCGGATAGCTCATCTGCTTACTGTTGATTTCATATTCCTTATTTTAAGCTTTAAACTGATGTGTGGTTTCTAAACATTTAGTTTGTTGCTTCACTTCAGAGATGCCTGTAGTGATTGATCACTGAAGTAAGCCCTGAGCATCAGACAGAACTTTGCAGGGACATGAGCCAAAGAAGTATCTGGTTATCTATTAGATCAAATAAAAAGAACTGTCTAACTTCAAAGGTTCTTCTACACTTTTACATTGTTTCCATCTGATATAATCAGCTTCTTTGTCTGCAGATTAGAAAATGCTGATTGTTTTAATGAGCAGAAACTGTCATTCTTCCCAGCCATGAAACTTGTAACACTCCAAAGAAATTGCTGTGAATGTTTATTTTTAAGTGCACAGCAGAAACCATCCAAACTGCCCTTACCAGTTCGAAAAAGGAAAAAAGATGCACCTGATGAGTTTGTGAGCATGTCAAGAGAACAGCAGGGCTTTATTGAACAAACACAAGGGTAATGCAGGATGCCAACAGTGATATGGCCAGTAGCGGCCACATCTCATGCGGCAGAGCGCTTCTGCCGCCCTGTTCAGAAACTGCCCTGAGCTGTGAGATAGGCTCCCAGCACAAGGCAGCTGGAACCAGCTGGCTGGTGAGAGCAGAGGCAGAGAGCGGGAAGATGATCCTGGCTTGTAGACATGAGTGTTTTGAAGTGTAGGACAGGAGAGGTTAGGTCCTAGTGCGAGGGTAGGGAGAAGAGGATGGAGGCACCCCTAACTGCTGCTGTCATCACAAGAACTTAGGATATCATCAGCAGAAGTTCAGCAAATGTAGTTTCTATACACATGTCAATCACCTGTTGTGGTCAACAGCAATGGAAGATGAAACGTGTAAGAAAATGGCATAATTTGGAATGAATTCTAAACAAAAAGAAATTAAACTTGTAACAATTACTATACCAGAACTATTTAGGATCTTAATGTAACAATATTTGTTGTAAAATAAATACAGTGAAAACATTAACAGCATTGTATTAATTTCAATTTCACTGACTTATTCTTTTATATGTCCTTTTCTACATTAAAAAAAATCTAAGTTTCTGAAATGTGTTCAAATAAGTTCTCAAAGTTTCTCCATATCTTTATATAAATTTTATTCTATTTATCTCCAAAGCCATTTTCATGAATTAACAAACACTTACTGAAGAGATCTTAAATCTATTAGGTATTTTAATTACAAATTTTATAATAAACAAGACAAACAGGTACTCAGAAAAACTGGACCAAGTGTATCAGACAGTTAATTTTTTCATATTTCTAATTTTAATATATTCAATATTTCTATAAACGCAAGTATTTTAATTATGGAGTTTTATAAAAGTGTATCTGCTTCAAATCATTATGCAATTTTCCAAAAGACCACAGCATCTACTGCAAGACACTTTACTTGGCTTTCTGCCACTGTTTTTAACAGATTCATTCATAGTAGGAAACTCCATATCTGGAAGTATTTTGCATTTGATTAAAATCCTATAAACTTCAAGTAACTTTCCCCAGGCAACTCTCTTACATACATGTAAGCTTTCTAAGTTGTTTGGTGACTGCAATGTAACAGCCTCTTCAAATTTTGTATTTTATACAATTAAAGTGGCAAGATTTGTTCTATTTAAGGTGGTGTTTTAAAGTAATTTATTTCATCAGTCAATTTTTAGTCCGTGTGACCACTTGAAGTCAGTTGTGTTACCAATTAAAACATTCAGTAGCTATGCATATACAAGTAACAGTCTTCAGATTTTCCCTGAATGTGCAATATTACATACACAAACTTGACAGACGCTTTAATTACACATTTTACAACACAAAATTAGCAGGTGATTAAAGCCTGCACGCACTAGCTACAGTGTGTAAAGGGGATATCAGTCATACCATTTTGAATTTTAACATAACAAAACATGGTGTGTTTTTAAATATGAAAATCCTATTTGGTCTTACAATAGTTTCTGCAAAAAGCCACACAACCCGTGTCCTGATAAACTTTCATGCCTATAAATTATATCCATTGCTGGAAGAATTTTAATATAGTAGGCTTGTACCAAAAATATACGTTTTCCATAAAATCAAAAATAAAATATCTGAAAATGTTCTGTGATAAATCTATAAAAAGAGTAATCCAGTCTTAAAAGTTAAATTCTGTTCTCACATACACAATTTGAGACCAATGCATGACATTTGTACAACTGACAGAAGAATTTGACTCAGTCTGCAAGATTAAAATGCAAAAGTTATTAAAAGCATTCAAACTCTTATTTCAGGAGTTTAACTTTGTCCTTTAAAACTTTAAATTTGGGATTATTGTTCACTTTCTTATTAAATATGACTAGAATATCCTCTTCTGACTTGTGATGTTCACCAGCTACTGCGTAATACTGAGCTATAACCTGCAAAAGACAGAGGAATGATTTTGAGTTAGTAAAGGTGATTCCACTTCCAGTAGTAATACATTCATGTTATGGTATTAAAAATAGCATGGAATCTATTCTGCTATTATGCCTTTGCAGAATTAGCACTGAATTTCTTCTGCAGTCCAGTAAGCAATAAAGAACATGTCCTTCAGTTGACATTCTGTTAATTGATACTCCGTTAAATAATGTCAACTTTTTTTGCTTTTTTAATGAACTAACATTACAGAGAGAAATTCAAAAGACCCAAGGAGATTAAAAAAACCCATGTTGTACAGTACCTTTTTTCTTAGTTTTTTAATTGAAATTTCATTGTCTGGAGCCTGTTTCAGAACAGCTTTGATGGTTCCCTTCCAGTTGAATTTACCTAGAAAATAATTAGGTGTCCATCATTAGTAAAATTATTTCCAGGTCGTCTTCTTCTCTAGTAGGAACCAGCCGGTCCTGGTGGCCAGCAGGATGACCATTGGCCAGCACTGTGCCCTTGTGTCCAGGAAGGCCAATTGCATCCTGGGGTGCATTAGAAAGGGGGTGGTTAGTAGGTCGAGAGAAGTTCTCCCCATCTACTCTGCCCTGGTGAGGCCACATCTGGAATATTGTGTCCAGTTCTGGGCCCCACAGTTCAAGAAGGACAAGGAACTGCTTGAGAGAGTCCAGCACAGAGCCACCAAGATGATTAAGGGAGTGGAGCATCTCCCTTATGAGGAAAGGCTGAGGGAGCTGGGTCTCTTTAGCTTGGAGAAGAGGAGACTGAGGGGTGACCTCATTAACGTTTATAAATATGTAAAGGGTGAATGTCAGGCAGATGGAGCCAGGCTCTTCTGGTGCAAGCTGGAGCGTAGGAGGTTCCAGGTAAACATAAGGAAAAACTTTTTCACTGTGAGAGTGACAGAGCACTGGAACAGGCTGCCCAGGGAGGTTGTGGAATCTCCTTCTCTGGAGAGATTCAAAACCTGCCTGGACACCTTTCTATGTGATCTCATTTAGGTGTTCCTGCTCCGGCAGGGGGGTTGGACTAGATGATCTTTCATCTTCCGCTATGTTGGCTAATGTGCATGGCAGCAGGGAAGGGACCTGCTGTGGTGAAACAAACATGCCAAGTTCCCCACTTCCCAGTGAAAGTGAACGTAGCAAAAGGTTGCCAGCACAGCAGAAGCAACAAATCAGAGAAGTAATTCAGCATCAGGTGTTAAGTGTAGCACAGGCTACTTACTCTGGAACAGAAAAGTATACTGAACATATATATATGTGTATGTATAGTGAGGCACAATTTATATCATGGCTTGTTGCAAAAGCACCGTGTTTATCTTCTGCACTAGGTCTGTTGCAGAACAGTTTTATAGCTGTCTAAACTCCCCCTTTAAGAATACCTTTATCTGTTCCCACATTTTCTTCGTTGCCATTGGTGTTTTCTGTTTCCATGTCTTCTGGAATGTTTTCGGTTTTCATTCTCTTTGTTGTGATCTCAGGTTCCTCTAGAGATGAAATTTGACAAACACACACAAAAAATTGTAAGAATAGAAGAAAAGTTGTGACATGACTTAAAGTTTCTGTTCTTGTAACATGAGTTTATATTTGCTAAGAGGTTCAGATTTTATAAAAGGACTGTGCAACCACAGTGTTAAAAAATAATCTAATTTGTATATGTAAGTTACTACTTAAAAAATTCTGCTTAGGTAGATTATTGAGCTTTAAGGCACTGAGACAAAGCGTCTTGAAAACAAACAGGAATATAAGATGTAGGATGGATACCTGCATGTTTATGTTTGCGTTTCTTTACATTTGTCTCCTCTTCTATTTCACTCTGCTGGCCATTTCCATTTATTTCAAATTCATTCTCCAAGCTCTCCTTTCCTTTTTTGGACTTTTTACTCTTCTTTACTTCTGACTGGTTTTCTAATTTCAAGTCTTTTTTCTCCTTCTTTTTGTTCTTTTGTCTCTCTTCTTTTCGTTCTCTCTTATTCTTTTTCCTCTCAATGTTATCATCTGTAATTCCATTTTCTTCTGCCATTGTTTTTTCCCCAGTTTCTGCAGACTGCCCCTCTTTCTTCTGTTGTGGTTTGTCTTGTTCTTTTTCACTTGAAGTCTTTTGTTGAAAGACAGATTATTACAACCTTTACATGCCTTTTTTGACACTGCAACTTTTTTCTACTACATCATTCATGTAGAACACCAATATCCTGAATTCAATTAAATTGCTTACACATGGTGGCACCAGTTACCTGAGAAATGGCACTAAATAGGATGGCTGATTCTTCTTTTAACTTAACAACCTAAATGCTAATTACCTTAACATCACAGAAGAAATGTTTCCTTACAACATACATAATTTCTATTTGAAATAACTGTCTATGTGGTTTTTTTAACATGTTTGCTAAATGTAATTAAGTTAAGGGAGAGACAACTCTTTTATTTACACAGACAAAAATACAGCGTATTACAGCAAGATACAGAACCTATTCCTGAATACACAGCCCTTGAGTAATAATCTTAGCTTTGCCATCCAGTTCCCTGTTTTGGGATATGTCTGGGACAACAAACTGTTATTGAATGATGTCAACAAAGGCAGTGCTGGTTATTTTAATTGTCCTTTTCTCACCTTAACATATTTGGTTTTCTTTTAAAGTTCCTGGGCTTGTAATAATTTTCTTGTAGAATTAATATATTAATGAACATTTTTAGATTTAAATTAAACTTTATTTATTACAAGTGAAATACAATTAATGAAATGTTAAAGTGGCTATTTAGAAAGAGAATACATGTTTATACAAGCAACTTAATACCAACATGTTTTTGTAAAGAGTAATTTTAATTCCATTTGAATTCCACTTGAGAACTTCCTTTGAGTGCATACACTTCAAAGTATGTACCACAAAGAATATCTTAAGATGTTTTTAAGAACTCTTAAAGGTGTGTTGAAATTATCTGAGCAAGAAAGTCATATTATATATTCTACTTTAATGCTATATTCTATAGAAAATGTAAATTGTTTACTTGTGTTTAAGTAAAGTAATTGTTCAAATTCAAGATTTATTTAAAAAAAAAATCAGTTTAAATCAAGAGGGAACTGCTTATGACTTTCATGAAGTTGTATCAACTCAGAATTAATGTTTCAGCAAGACAACGTACTTGAAATTCAATGCCCAGAGTTTGTTATGTTCATATCCTTTAAAAAAATGTATTTCTTTCCTTCCTGGCTCTTATATTTGGATTCTTCAGAAAAAGGTTTCAGAAAAAAGTTTCTTCAGAAACTACAAATAGGTTTAACTGGAATAATCAAATCAGGAACATGAAGCATGATCAACAAGGAATTCATATCAAAGCTATGCCTGCACTCTTCCTCAAAAGAAGGTGGAAGGGGGAGAGCAATCTTTACAGCAACAGAGAAGTAAGCTTCTGTAACAGCTTTCTAGTAGCAGCAGTAGATACAAACAATCAATCAAAACAACACCCAAATTAGCAATCTAGTCTAGGAACATTACGTTGTAACGTAAACCACTGCAACAATGGGAGATAATATTTCCGCTAAGATCTACGAAGGGAACCCCAAAAGGTTTTCCTTCCAGTGTTTTTTACCTTATTCCTGTTGTATGATGTTGTACCTCTAACTTAACTTACATTTCTGGTTGCTTCAGAGAAAATATCCCACACCTGGTCTTGCAAAGTGCTGTCAGTAATTCTCAAACTGTTCTTCATCCAATTCTGTGCAGGAAAAAAACAACAATAACTGAAAAGCTGCGTCTCTGATATTTTTCTTGATTACCATATATTTGGTTCTTGTTTTTATTTTTCATTTAAAAATCTAATCACTTCTAATCAAGATCTGGTTAGATGTTTATACACTATGAATCTCTTAAACCTCCATGCTAAACTGGTTTGCATAATGCCTGCATACTGTTATAAGGCTATACCATACCTCTCAATTACCTCCTCAATAGTAATCCAGAAGATGTAAATATATAGAAAAGATAATCCTCAAGCTGTTGAATACAGCTGGCTATGTTAATGTCCTACCAGACCTTCTGACTGTTCCCATGAGTTAAAACATTCATGATCTTATCTTATTTATTTATGTGTGTACTAGACAAGGCGGTCATTCTCCTAAATGGATACCTTAGTTTATTAGAGAAAAGTAAAATTTAAGCATATATCTCAATGCAAACATTTGAAAGTTGTTGGGGCTATTGCAGGATTTTTTGAAGATGAAAACAAAAAGCAGTAAATTTCTACTTATGCTCACACTATCAGCAACAGATTAACTTTCAGGAATGTGGAATTCTAAGTAAAACCTAATGTAAAGATTTTTGCATTGCAATGAATATCCCAGGAAAGTTGCATTAATAAATTGGAATGATAAACTGCAAAAACTTTTTATTTTCCACTGCAACATATCTTACCAAAAGGAAAGAGGCTTCTTGACAATATCACTTGCCCTGCTTAGAGCAATTTTGTAGAGAAGTATTCTAACCTTCAGCTCACTAGCAGCAATTTCACCACAGCTCTATTAGGTTCTATTTTAATGCTTTGGAATCAGTCATGATCTCCTCTCAGCCTCACAATCTGAGGCACAGAAGGGGGGCGGGGGGGGGGAAAGGCCAGTTTGTCAGTAATTCTTTAATGATAACACATTAAACTACACTACAAGAAGGACATTGAGGTGCTGGAGTGTGTCCAGAGAAGGACAACAAAGCTGATGAAGGGTCTGGAGCACAAGTGTGATGAGGAGCAGCTGAGGGAATTCGGGTTGTTTAGCCTGGAGAAAAGGAGGCTGAGGGGAGACCTTATCGCTCTCTACAACTACCTGAAAGGAGGTACCTCTACAGAGAGGTGGGGGTCCGTCTGTTCAACCGAGTAACAAGTGACAGAACAAGAGAAAATGGCCTCAAGTTGCGCCAAGGGAAGTTTAGATGGATATTAGGAAGAATTTATTTACTGAAAGGGTTCTCAGGCATTGAATCCCAGGGCAGTGGTGGGGTCCCCATCCCTGGAAGGATTTAAGAGTCATGTAGACATAGTGTTTAGGGACATGGTTTAGTTGGGGACTTGTCAGTGTGAAGTTAATGATTGGACTCGATGATCTTAAAGGTCTTTTCCAATCTAGGCAATTCTGTGATTTTGTGAAACATTCAGAATTTGCTTTGGCTGTGATGCAAAGTTTAGTAAAGCATGCAGTGTGGGAGATTCTCCCAGAATAATGAGCAACAAAAAAACTCTCAAAACAGTATCCTGCCCTTATCAGGAAAAAATGAAGCCACAGAAAGAAGAATCCTTTAAAAGTATGTCTAAGAATTTGGACATTCAATAGAAATTGCAAACAGGAAAAAAGCAAGGTATTAGAAAGAGAACAAGCCTACACATAGAGATTAAGCTTGCATGGTGTGTCTCTGGCTTAACACCTAATGAAAATGGCGGGCAGAGAGTCCTTTTAAGGAAGGAGATGTATTTTTACAAGCATTGCCTATTTGAAATTCAGGTATTACACATGTATTTACCAATGCCCAAATAAGCTGGTTTTCCCACCTTTGTTAGAATAGAGTAGCACTCACTAAGAAAGTCTATTTTTAAGCTCACTGCATGAATTACTACAAAGTTCTATTAAAACATACCTGAAACTTTACTTTTTTTCTTGGAATATTATCAAAGACACGCATTTGCTCCAGAATGTTCCGCACTTTAGGGCTTATGTTTGGCTTCTTCATTACTTCATGAATTTTCTGAATGAAGAAAAACAGAATTAAATCAGCAAAGAAGCGTAATGATCAAATGATACACACAAGGTATGCAAGTCGGAAACACACTGGACAGAAATCACTTAGTACCCACAGGCTGTATAGTTTGCTCAAAAGAACTGTACAATATGCACAAGAAAAACACTAATCTTTGGTTTTATCATAGATCATAAGATGTGTTGAAGTTACCCATATAAATATTTATACCTATATAGTAAGCAGAGGCAAGCAGAACTGCTCACCAATGCTTTCTGATCTACAAGTTACAACCTGTAATAAAAACATTTAAAAGTCAAGTAACTGTATCACAGAGGGGATTCTTGTGGTGAGAAAAAGACCTGCACTAAGAAAAGCAATTGTCAACTGATGGGTTTTTGCAAACTCTGGAGTTAATGGTGAAAAATCAGGCTACCTTTGAGGCCACAGTTTGACATGCATTTGTTCTGGCAGCAGCGCCAGCTTCAACAACCATCAATCCCTGTAAGATAGCTCAGGCATATTCTTATGCTATGGGTATCAGCACAAGAGAGCAGAGGTCAGGCCAGGGCCTTGTGGCAGTTATTTGAACAGTATCACTGCTTGTGGGGAAAAAAAGGGAGCTCTCAGCTTCCCCTTATTTAAGGATGTAGCCACTGGACACTGGAGAGTCTTTCTGTACTTCTGAAAATCTGTTTACTGAAAGGTTTTGTGGATGTGTTAAGACTACTAGAAAAAAACCACCGTAATAATCCCTCCCCTTTCTGTGCAGAAAGTACTTAGCACTGAGAAAAGGTAACAATTTTCATAAGCAATAGCACTCACATCATACTGCCTTTGAACAATGCACGCAGACAATGTTTTATCTCAACAATGGCACTAATCTGTTGACTTCAGTGGTATTATTCACATGCCTTCAGTATGTATGCATAGCAGCTTAGCACCTTGTTAGATTGCGTCCTATACGAGACAGAAATCAACAGATCCGTGGATAAAGGTGATCTAAATAATTATATCCAATGGGGTTTTAGAAACGTGTTTTGAGAGTTGCTTCCTAAAACCTGTCAAGCAAACTAAGAGCCCTGAGAGTGAAGGTTCTTGCATGGGATAAATAACTACCTGAAGGGTAGGACAGAAAGAGTTGGAGACATTTCCATCCATGCTGGAGCCTCTGCTGTTCAACTTATTTACAAAATATCTGAAAAGAGGGCAGGAAAATTTTCCTCATGGTAATAAAATTATTCAGGATGAGGACTGTGAAGAATTCCAGAGAGATCTTAAGAGAATGAGTGACTAGGTAATAAAAAGGTGAATGAAATTCAACATGAATTCATGTAAAGCAGCTTGGATAGGAAAAGAATTCTAACTTGACATCTAAAATGGCAGGCTTTAAATTGATCACTGCAGCTTAGACATAAAATCCTAGGACTGAAGTAGCCAATTCCATGAAAATGCCAGCACAGTGACCAGCAGCAGTAAAAAAAAAAAAAAAAAGTAGCTCAACTGACAAAAATCAGTAAGAAAGGAATAAAGAAGGACACAGAAAACATCATTATGACACAGAGTAAATCTATGGTTCATCCGTATCTTGAACAGCATACGTAGTTCTTGTAACCTCATTTCACAAGGATGCAAAAGAAGTATAGACGTAGGAAGACTTCAGAAGACCAAAGATACAACTTAAGTAAGAACAACTGAGCAGGACAGGACTTTTCAGCCTGGAACAGAGATGATGAGATGGGGAGAGATGCCTGACAGGTGTCTACAAAAGCATATGTGGCATGAAGAGGGTGGACAATGATCAATGCCCCTCTGTACACAAAAACTAGGGAACATTAAACTAGTTGGAGAGATTCAAAACAAAAAAAAAAGGTGTGTTTCTTACCAGGATAAGCAATAGACCAAGGAATTGCCAAAAGAAAGCTGGGGATACTGGGAAAACTAGATCTCTGGTTTGATCCAGTATAGCCTCTCGGGTCTTTAACGATTATAAACAAGTTATTTATTATATCCATATAGAGTACAAACCGTACCTGAATCCACTCCTGTTGTTTAGCATCTCCTTTGTTAGTTTTGGCTTCAAAATCTTTTCCACCATATTTCTGGTCTTCACTTACACACTTCACATGCTCCTTATAATCGTCACCCCTGAACAAAGGAGATTTTTAACTGTAGTTCACTAAAGTGTTTCAGTCCTTCAAACCATGCAAGACTCGTGTAAGCAACAAACTGAAGTAACAGAGGATAGCATCTATCATTTAAACCTTAATACTGTCAACACTTAAAAAGTAAAGTCCAACATGCTTATTTATTTCTAAGACTGCTGACATTTCTGTCATGCTACAGCCTTCAGTGAAAATTTGACTTGCAAGATCAGATGAGTCTTCAGCACACTGCTGCTTTTATTAATGACTCTATAACTTCTCCGCATTTCTACATGTGATGTATGCACAGCTATTAACACATATCTGTGTTTTGCTACTCATACTGGCACGTTTTGAAGTTAGAATAGCCGGTGAAAAATGCTTGTGAAAACCTAATTCCTAAATATAGATACACTAATGTGGTAGTGAAGTTCTGACCAATGCATAAGTGCCCCCAAAAAGAAATAAATAACATAGGCCTTAACCTTTTGTCAGTGTTAAGAAATATAATCATTATTTGAGGACAATCTTATTTTCTTATGCAAATTCCTGTTTTTATATTTTGAAGGCAGACAGCAGCGCTTCTTTCTTCAGAGTTCTGAGAAGTGACAACCAAATTCAGAATTTTTTATGTTATTGCCGATCTCATTCTCTCTGCAGTAGCAGAATAAGTAACAGTTGGTGATCAGAAGCTGAAAGCACTGTCACTTATAACTGTAAAAGAAACTGCAACTCAGTTTACCGTGTGGTTTAGTTAGCCTCGCAGTTCCAACCTGGATGATTAAGTTTGAAGTTATGTAAAAACGTGTACAGTTTTCAAATACAAATATGAATTATTCAGAAATTGCCAAATTTAATTCTAATACACCACAGGAATTTTTTTTATTATTTGTGACAGCCACTGCAGAGTGAGCAAGACTATTTTCCACCCTTTACCTACCAGAAATCTTTGCCACAATCCATGCAGGAAAGGCACTGACAGTTTCTGCAGATGTTCACATGCTTTTCAACTTGTGCTTTCTTCACAGATTCTCCACACGCGTTGCAAGTGAAAACTACCATGTTGGTGAGTGGTCAGCAGCTTCTATACACCACCGGGGTACAATCTTCTATACTGGGGTACAATCTTTTTGCTCCCACACGAGCACAGCCCTAGAAGTACCAGGAGGAGATGTGACACGTACAGTCTGGAAGAAGCACTGGGTGGCAGCTGTGCGCCCACCGAGGGGAAGCCTGAGCGGTCGCTTCCCGCGTGCAGAAGTTCAGAAGAAAAACGCTCATTTTCCCGGAAATCTTGAGCACGCGGGACACCAGTAACCCCGAAACTAGTAACCCCCCCCCC